ATCTATAAAGTACTATTTACTTAGACTACTTTGCACGGCGATACGCTCGAAGTACTATTCGTTTAATATACTTCACCCTTTCGATTTAATATCGATTTTAGTACGAGTCTACTGCTCTTTCTTCTTTGGAAGAGTGGGCAGTAGTTAGGTACCGGAAATACTACGCTAAGCTTGAAAGGTTGAAAATTCAACACTTACTTCGCAACGGAGATTACGCATAAAGACTTCGAATTGCTTTCGATTATCTTTCGCTTCGGCAAATAAAAGATACGACGAGCGGAAATAAGTGTTTGCAATTCGGAACCGTTTCGGTGTCGCATCATATTAGAGGCAGGCTATATGCTTGCACGGAAGCTCGGCTATTACCCGACCTCGTTTCTATTTCGATACACGATACACTTAATTTCGGCAATTACTCCCTCGCTTATTCGGATCTTACGTTTGAGAGTTAGACGTATTATTAATATCATTTATCGTATCGGTTTAGTTTCGATTATCTAGCTCGGAGCGATCGGCACTCGATTCTCTGTTGAATCACTTTCGACGCATCGGGATCTTATATCTTTATAACATTTCCTTGTGTATTTAATATTCATTACAAATTATATCTATTTCATTTTTGTTATTCATTCACATTCATATTCATATCATTCTCGTTTTTTTTTCGCATCCGTTTCGGGACACTTTCATACCTTAATCGATATCTATCAACTTAACTTAGCGGGCCTACGTTAGAGTTCTAAGAAATCAAAAAGAGCTATGACTTCTTCGACTTAAAAGGATTTCGGACTTAGCGGGGATACTACTCGTAAGCTAACCGAGGACGAAGTGAAGAGGATTCAGGCCCTTTTACCTTTCGTAAATGCTTCGAATTACGTGAGTATCCGTAGACCTCTCTTTGGACCTGGAGCCTTTAGAATGCTTGCTTTTGACAAAGCTAATATCACGGACTATATTCGCTAGCTCGAACGAGCGTTTAAAGACTACGGTATCGTTACCGATTCGAAGAAGAAGCAGTGCTTTGCTGAGTACAATATCTTTAGCCCTTTCGGTTATAACATCCGTTGTAATATCGAGAGCCTCGGCGGCTTTTCGGATCCGAAAGTGACTTAGGACGATTTCAAATCGATGGTCAAGGAAGAGTATAAGGCTTTCGACCTAGCTAGGTGGAAAGATAGTATTAGCTTTCTGAACGACTTGAGCAATAAGTAGATAGCAAAGGAAGGAGCTTCTAAAGCAGAGCTTCTACAGTTCACCCGCTAGTTCAACCTTACGGGCCTTGCTTGCCTCGCTAATAAGGATATTACCGACAAGCAGCTAAAGTGGAAGTTCTTCGATTGCTTACTACTATCGATGCAGAATCGGACTCAAAAGAACGTCAAACTTGGGGAGGATCACTTGCAAACGTATAACATAGTATATACTATAGTTAGCGACTTAATTAAGCAAGAACAGATCACTGCGGAACGGATTAAAGAATACGGCTACGCCGAGATCTTTGAAGCTTTTTTTCGCTATGACCTTTATTGGAACGAGAACTCTCGTCTTTAAGTACCGTTTGTTATTCCCGAAAGCAAGCGAAACCTATACGTTTCGCTCCCTTATAGCACTTACTCCGGTGGTACCTATGCCCTTCCTTTTCACCGCGCAAGCACTACCGCTGCGAGTTCGATTACCTCGTTCATCGACCTTGACCTAAGGATCGAGGCCTTTACAGAGCAGCTAGCGAAAGTTAATATTCACTTAGGACTTACCGACAGCTTCGCTTTCGTACCGAAAGAGGCTTATGTGAACCTATTAGAAGCTGCCTAATATGAAGAGACTTAAGAGATCGCATTGCACCGGGTCCACGAGATCAATGCGGCCGATACTTATTCGAACCGAGGCTACGCCACATCGAAGGAGAAACGGTCTTTAAACGATTCTAACTGCATTTTCTATTAGTATTAGCAGACTTCTGATCTATTTAGCTATTAGCAAAAGCCTTACAAATACTAGAATCAATGCTACTTGTTCATGCTTTAGTACGGACTAGCTTTTCACTTTAACGAAGCGGACTTGATGTGTGTAAGACTATACCGAAAAGAAATACTTTCGATTTCGTTTTAGTTCCGAAACGACACCTTTAAGTACGAGCAAGTTTTAGAAAGGGTTCGTAAGATAATAAATGATCTTAATCTTGAGCGTCGTTATAAAGCTTTAAAAGCATAACGAGAATCTATTAAAAAAGCTGCACGAGAACGCGCTAAAGCACTTATTCGAGCAGCTAACGGCGGCAATGCGGAAGCTTTTCGTATTAACGACTTCAATACTTCGGATATAATTCGCTAACGATGCATCATATCAGCGGATTCACATGCCCGCGTGTTTAATACGGAAGCTACTATTATACCGGTAGAGACTCGAGCGCGCAACGCGGCCTTTCGAGTTACGCTATACCCGCTAAGAGACGCTCTTTCGACAAAAGCAAAGGTCTAATCCACTTATAGCTAGCTTAAAGTTACTTTCGCTAAACCAATAGAAATAGATAAACCCGAGCTCGCTTACACCGCGATTCTTAATCGAAACGCTTTACGACCGGAGGACCTACGGAATTTGCCCGTCACACTGCTAAAAGCTCTTAAGGCTGCACTTAAGCTTAAGGCCAAGCCTTTTAAGACTGCTAAATTATACGAAGGGCTTGGCAAAGTGATCTCTTCCTTAAGGATGGACTACGAAGCGACTCGTATTGAGCTCTTAAAAGGGCGCGATTTGCTAAGGAACTTAACTCTTGGTAAGATTATTGCGTTTTTCGCTATTCTTTTTATTTCTAAACGATTTTCTTTCGAAGGTATGATCGATAAGATGATTTAGCAAACCTTTATTAGCGAAAGCGCTATTAACTGCCTTTAGGTTACGGTTAGCGTTGCGGAGGCTTCGGAAGATTACTTGATTATAAGTAGTAGGCCTATACCGAAGGCGACGGATGATCTGGTAAAGGACGGACTTGCTTCGAGGCTTTAGCGACTTATTTAAAGAGAAGGTAATGTCTCTTTATCGAGTGGTGATCTATTTTGCAAAGTTACGGGTCGCTTTATCGGTGAAGCGCTTTATCGCAAGAATTTACCCTTTTTTCTTTCTTTTGCTACTTCGACTTACGGCCGAATCATTAGTGAAGCAGACCTTATACAGGTTTCTGCTCGGCTAAGACGGATCTTATATAAAGATGCCATTGTTTAGCGGTCTTAGCTTGGACGCTTATTCGAATTCTCTTGGATGACCAGGCTTTAATTGCAAAGGAATATCCGTAGCAGCTAGACTAAGCACCGCCGACGCAATACGCTTCTCGCGCTCGAATCTCTTTCGATTTAAAGACGGTTTTGCTCTATTCTTATTATCGGCTTTATTCCGACTCTCTTTACAGCTATATTCTACGGTGTTTTCTAGTTCTAACATCTCTTTCTCGATTGGTTTATTCGTAAGGATCGGCGTACTTTGCGGACCGCAATCGAGAGTGATACGGAGCCTTTTTCGGCGGAAATCGGTTTAGCTTCGACGTTTGGCTAGCTATTCTTTAGATACTCTTATTATTATTCGCTAACTCTTAAGGTTATTGTCAGTATACTCGGACAGTCTTTAATCACTAATGCGCGGGCTACACTCGATACAAGTGCGGAGGTCAGCGTTATTACTTACGACGCCGCGGTTAAATTCGAAGTCTTTATAGCTTACGACTAAGAGATAGGCTTCCGAACAATCACCGGTTCATTATCGCGCTTTATCGGATACGCCGATAACGTGTCTGTTAATATCGGAGGTGCTACGATCCGTACTCGGTTCTACGTTATAGATTCGCTAAGGTTTCGACTTATACTCGGTTACCTTTTTATACGCAAAGCAAGAATCAGTCTTCGATACTTCTTAGACCATAAGGGTGGCTTTGTTATTGCAATGATTACTGATCTTTCTACGAGCTAAGTTACTTAAGCTAAAGTGAGCGATAAAACGAATCAATACGACGAAGCCGTCGATCGTTTAAAGGAGCAGAGTATAAGCCTTATTTATTACGATGAGTCTTCGAGTAGCAGCGGAAGCGATTCGGAAAACTAGTGATCGGCCTCGTTGGAAGCGCCGAAGTCGGTATACTAAAAGCTTTTTGCTTTTCGCTTAGTTTCGAAGGCGAAACGTTATAGCATCGAGGAGGGGACGACTTTATTACTTAAGAGCAGTTTATCGATGTTCTTGCTTTTACGGAATGCGATCTTTTAACAACTTGTTAAATAGATGCCGTTAGCACCGACACCTTTATGATCCGTTGCTACGATTATATCGATTATTAGAATTCGACACTTTATCGGACTCGAAAAAAGATCTCTTCGGATTCGGCTAAGGTATTCGGCATGTATAAGACTAAGGATAAAAAGATCAGGCTAGTTGACGAAGCAGACGGCGTAAGAGCAGCATTAAGTAGCAAAGTTGATTAGTATGAGCTATCGAAGGCCAGGGATACGCTATAAGAGCAAGTAAGAGAATACAAGCAATACCTTTTTCCGCGCATTGCCGATATACCGAAAGGCTTTCGAATCATACCCGAACGCATAGCGAACCTGGATGTCGGTAATACTTTACGGCTTAAAGAAAAGGATTTGTTTAAAGAGATGATGCTAGGCAGAGAAAAATTAATCGCATTCGCTTAGCAAGAGTGCGGTAAGTTCTACGACGACGTTTCACCACCGATTAAGCTTAAAACCATCTTATATACGGCTTAGCAGGCTCTTAACTACTCGTGCTCGAAGGCTCTATAGCTTATTGTCATCAAAATGCTTTAAGACAGGCTTAATAAAGGAGTTTTAAAGTATTGCGAAAGACCGTACCGGAATCAATGGTTCTTAGTAGCCAAAAAGCAGCCGGGCTAGTACCGACTTATTAACTTAGCAACTTTACTTAATGCAGTCACAAAGAGGGACGCTAATCTACCCTTAACTGTGGATGAGTTTGCTGAAGAGTTTTCTGGTTGCTAAATGGCTAGCCTAGTCGACCTTTATTCGGGCTATGATCAGCAAACACTTTATCAGTCGAGTAAGGACTTTACCGCTTTTTTTACACCGCTAGGTCTCTTCCGATGCACTACCCTTCCGCAAGGTGCTATAAACTCGGTGGCTCAATTCGTCCGAACAGTTAATCTTATTTTAAGGCCTTTGCAACTTAAGGTCTTTATGCTATTTGTCGACGATATTAGAGTAAAAAGATCACAAACGGACTATTTCGACGAAGAAGCACTCTCGGGTATACGCCGATTCGTACTCGAACATATTTAGAATATCGATAAGACCTTGGAACGGATTAAGCGCGCTAGTGCTATAATCGAGGAAAAGTCATAGTTCTGCCGGGATAAGATAAATGTGGTAAGATTCGTATGCAATTCGAAGGGTCGGGAACCCGCTGCGGATAAGGTTATTAAGATCAATAATTAGAAAACCTTCGAAAACGTTATTAAGGTTAAGAGATTTCTAAGCCTTTGCTTTTATTTCCGCATCTGGGTCAAAGGATTCGCATACATTGCTGACCCTTTTTACAACCTTATAAAAAAGGATGTGGATTAGCAGTAGACCGAAGCGCATTCGAAGGCCATGCGAATGCTACAAGATGCCTTGACGACGGCTTCGGTTCTGATTAAGATCGACTACGAGGATTAGAATAAGGAAATAGTAATAGGAACGGACGCTAGCTTAGAAAGATAGGGAGGATATATCGGCCAACGCGAGACTACTTTTGGCAAGGTGCAACCGGCTCGGTACGAGTCCGGGGCTTGGACGGAGGCAGAACGGAACTACGACGCTATTAAACGGGAGTGCCGCGAAGTACTTAAGGTCTTTAAGAAACTCAAGCTATGGATTATCGGAGTGCACTTTATCTTCGAGACTAACGCTAAAGTGCTCGTTGCTTAGCTTCGACGAAGAGCTATCGATATACTTTCGGCTTTGGTTACACGCTAGCTAGCTTGGATCAATCTTTTCGACTTTAAGGTCCGATATGTCTTCGGTAAAGATCATACCGCTGCCGATGTACTATCGAGACGGCTACGGCACTCTAATGATTTAAACGAAGAGGATGAGAATGAGTTCGATAACAGCCTGCTAGCCGACTTAAGACTTATTAAGGCTCGAGACGGCTCTAAAGAACCTTCGACGGACCTTTTGGTAGATATTCGCTAATTTATTCTTAAGGATATGTTTCAACGCTCGAAAGAAGCGGAAACTGCAAACTTGGACGAGTCTGACGACGAATACGATTACGAAGGTCTTTTGAACCTAATCGAATACTCTTCGGAATCAATTCGGATAGCTACTTTCTTGACGACTTTGCGAAGACTTAAGGACTTGAACAGAGCGGAATGCCGTAAATTCAAGAGGGAAGCTATTAAGTACGGAATAAACGATAAGAAGCTCTAGAGACTCTCGACGAAGGGTCTTCTCTTTCGATTAATAGTTGATAAACCTTCGATTAAGACGGACATTATTACGGCTTGTTACGATGAGAGTGGTTATAAAGGCCGTAAATCAACCTACTACCGTGTATCTTAGCGCTACTTCTGGAATAGATGCTATACGGACGTCAAACGATTCGTCAAGATTTGTAAGGAATGCTAGCACCGAGTAGCCAATAAGCTCGAAGAATTATTGCATCTTACCCGATCTAATGGCTTAATAGAACGCTAAGCTATCGATATTACTCATCTATTTGCACGCAATAGCAAGAGCTACTTGGTTGTTGTTAAGGATGATATGAGTAGATGGGTCGAGGCGAGGGCAATTCGGACTCGAGACTCGCTTTCGATAGCTAAGTTTATTTAAGAAGACATTATCTGTCGTTATAAGATTTTCTTTTAGCTGATAGTCGACGGAGGTTCGGAGTTTAAAAAGGAGGTAATCGACTTACTTAACAATTAAGGAATTAATCGAGTCGTGGTCTTAGCATACTACCTTCAAGCGAATAGAATGGTAGAACGCGGCTACGGACTAATTAAAGACGCATTAAGTAAGCTTAGAAGCACCGACTGGATTGCGCAATTGCTAGCCGTCTTATTCGCCGACCGCACTTCGGTGTATACTTTTATCGGATTCACTTTTTTTTATATAGTATACAGCAAAGAGGCAATGCTTCCGATTAAGACCCGAATCTAGTCTTGAGCTACGTTATTTTAAGAGCTAGTAACTAATCGTATTAAGCTTATCGAGTTAAAGGCACGCTAGTTCCGGATGCGAGACGAGGATGCTACGGAGGCTATACTTAAGAAAACCCGCTGCCGCTAAGAGGGAAAAGATGCTTTTGATAGTAGGAAGAACCTTCGAATCAGACTTCTAAAGGTAAGTGACTTAGTCTTTAAGCACGACTCGGTACGTAAGGTGGATATGTCTAACGTCAAGAAGCTAGATTTTCGATAGCTTAGCCCTTATTAAATTTCGTCGGTAAATACAAAAGGATACTACAAGTTGAAAGAACTAAGAGAGGACGGGGCCTTGCTAGATAGAACATTTGCCGGCAGTCGATTAAAGAAGTTTTACGTGCGATATACCCTCGAAGCGTTACCACCTTACCTTAAGCTTTATATAAAAAGATCCTTAGAACAGCCTTCACTAGATGAAGTGGCCGAGTCCGGCCCTTAGATTAGGCGCTTAAATGGATTTGTTATTCGATTACTTGGCCTTACGGAAAAGCAACGGAGCTAATACGCAAGAGTCTTTGTGAGCAGTGATGAAGAGGCAATAAAGAGTGATTACGTTATGAAGGCATGATTATACGTGAAAAGAGGACGAGTTTAAATTTGATTTTTGATTTTTTCTTTGTTTGAGTTTGGTTTTCTTTGTTTTCTTTCTTCTTACACTCTTTTTATTTCTTTCTTTATATTAAAGAGCTTTACGTTATCACACTTATATGCTCCCGATCTATTATATACGAGCATGTTATACACACAAAGCGGACCCTATTCGGAGGCTGATCAAGAAGAGCATACGAAAAAATCTATTGCATTAACTACCTGGCAAGCTGCCGACACGCGATAAAAACCCTTCCGACCTTATAACTCAGGGCTAGGTGGAATAGTGCGAGAGCCTTCCGCAGCACTTTGGGCACTGCTTTCACCCTTCGAGGTCTTACCGATGTTGCTACGATTCGAACCCTTCGAAGAACTACGGGTATTGTTACGGCTGGAACCTCGCGAAAAAGAACTACCGGTATTGCCGCGAATAGAAGCTTGGCGGGCACTTCGGCGGAGCCTCTTCGCAAGAGGCGCAAGAGGAGCAAGAGGTGCTAGCGATTCCGAAGATGAAGATGAGGATGAAAGGGACGAGGACTTTTCGGCAATTTATCGTAATCAGATCGGAAAGGAATCACGAAAGGTTCGCAATATACACTTACGCGGCTAAGGAAGTTACTTAGCAAGGTATTGTTTCGATCTATTGCAGCTAAGATTTAACGCAGCAGGTCTAGCGAAGCTAGATCGGCGGTGGCAGCGGCAGCAAGTAGGCGTAACGCCGGGACGGGACTTAAGCCAGCCAAGGGACCTTTAGCATTGGCGGCGGCAAGGGAAGCAGCGGCGACACGGGCCTGAAGAAGGGAAGAAGCATCACTAATTCGAGAGGCAAGAGCACGGCGGGTCTTTATAAGGAGGTTATTTGCAACTGTGCCCTTACGAAAAACGTCGTCGGCCGTCTTAGTTCTATTGTTTATAGCCGTCATCGCATCTATTAAGACTATGCCGGCACTAACGACTTCTGCGGAGAGCTATCGAATCGGAGTCAGGACGAGTGCGAGACGGAAGGTAAGATAACTTACGGGGATGCAAGTTGACTTGATAGCACGGCAACGCTCGCATTTGATAGAAGTGTCGGAGGAGAAGATGCACCGACTCGTAGTATTATCGATAGTTTTGCTTGCGTGGCCCACGCACCGGAAGCAAATCGAAAACATAATGATTGAAAGAGGTTGGTAGATGATGGGTGTTAAGGGAAAGGTGGAAAGGTGTGAGGTTGATATAAGAAGAGGGTTGACTGTTTATAGCAAGACTTCGAGTATATATTGCCGCTTTTGTTTTCTTTATCACGTTACCGCTTTAAGCTCCGCGCTACTGCCGATTCGGCAATGCGTCACTACTTGACCGCTTAAACCGGCGCACGCTTGTCTTGATAACAATACTAACGCTCGGGTTGATATTGTTCTTATAGTTGAATAAGAGAGCTATAAAGGATATGAAGGGGAGTTGGACCCGGAGGATTATCTTGCATTCTCGTTGTTATTTTTATCTTCTTTGTTATATCACATACGCCTCGTATTAACACCGATCCGGCGATGCATCATTGAGTAGTACTTTAGGACCGTATTGCGACTATGCAATTCGGCCATATGCTCGTCTTGCAAACTTAACCCTACCACTTTGATAAGAGGTGACTCGAAGGCGAGTCTGATTCGAAGAAGGGACGTATGTGGTAGAGTTAGGGCTTTGTATTTGTTTTGTCTATGTATATAGTATTGATGCTAAGCACCTTTGTCACGTGGGTGCGCTGCATGCCTTGGCCCTGCTAAGCACGTGGTTAAGTCACGTGGTTAGGTCACATAGTTAGGTTACGTACAAGCTCTTATATAGACGAGTAGTTGGTTCCTCTTTGAACTATCATCACATCACACACAATACAACACACGTACTTACAGCACACATTCGAGTGTCCTTCGATCGTCCTCCTTTTCTCTTTTTATTCACTTACGATTCTACCATAGCTATATTCATATATATCTCTTGATTTGACGTTGGGTATATGTCGGAGCTCTTCCCTTCCACAGTATTTAAAAGAGTTCACCCGTGAACCATAGTTCACGGGCTATTAAGCATGCCTCGCTTAGCATACTATCGCTTAAAAAGACCTTCAACTTAATTATATAATCTAGTAGTTAGCTAATGCACGTGATTCCTTCTAATCGTATAAAAGGAATCAGTTCCCTTAAACCTTAAGCAACAATCAAAATTCAAATACCTTTACAACCGAGTGTTTTGCAATTGCAAGTACTTTGACGACCGTTTACGAAGTTAATAAAGTTACGAATATATTCTTTAATCGCTTAAAAGCAATCTAACAACTTCTATAACTTCTATAACTTTTGTAACCTTTAATATCTTCGTAAAATAAGTTATAATTATGAGTAATAAAAGGGGTCCGGGGTCTCTCCGGTATAAAAATAAAAATACGAGTAATAAAAGGGGGTTTAAAAGGGTCTCCCTCTTATAATAAATTCTAAATTCTAAATTTTTAATATAATAATACTTTGATATATATTTAATTTTATTCTACGATCTATTTAATAAGTTGAATATTTAGCAAAAGATAAAGTTCGATATAATATTTTTAACGAGCTAATTATTAATTCTATAAAACATATAATTTATTATTTCAATGATATACAAATTAGTAATTAGCCCGTTGGTGACACTACAGAGAACTTGGTCCTCTGCCCTGGTTAATAGCTTCTTCTTAAGTAGAAAGAACTACTAGTTAAGCCGTAAAAGAAAAGAAAGCTGCTAAAGCAGCTTTAAAAAGTGTACGAAAGATTTTGCTTGCGAAGCGAAAGTTGCTATATTATATAAGTGCTATCTTTTAAGTTATACTTAGAATAAGCTTTCTCGTGACCGTTAGAGTCGTTTAAGTATTTTAACGTTTAACTATTAAAGAATTCTAAAAAAAAAGAATATTATTAAAGCCGTTCTCGACGAAGTAAAGTAGTTGTTAATAATATAACGACTTTAAGCGATTATTTAAAAGAACTTACGAGAGCGCAAGGGTTTATATAAATGTGACGACACGCCAGGTCTCCTGGATGCACCTCACATGCGCCAAGCTACTTCCCTCTTTTTTTCTTTCGTATTCTTCGTATTCCTTTATTCCTCGCTTTTGACTTATGAACTATAGTTCACGAGTCTTTAGCGCTCTTACCTTCGTGTATATAAACCTTAGCTACTTTCGACTTTTATACTCGGTAGTTATTGATTCTAAGTTATTACTTTAAGATTCTCTTAAGCTTTTATATAAATCTTCGCGCTCTCGTGAGTTCTTTTAAGTAATCGCTTAAGGTCGTTATATTATTAACAATTACTTTACTCCGCCGGAAACGGCTTTAATAATATTTTTTTTCAGAATTCTTTAGTAGTTGGACGTTAAAAAACACTTAAACGATTTTAACGGTTACGAGAAGGCCTATTCTAAATACAACTTAAAGGATAGCACTTATATAATACAGCAACTTTCGCTTCGCGGGCAAAATCTCTCGTACACTTCTTAAAGCTGCTCTAGCAGCTTCTTTCTCTTTTACGGCCCAACTAGTAGTTCCTTTTATTCAAGAAGAAGCTATTAGTGAGTAAGACGATAAAGATGATCTTTCGGCCTTTATTAACTTCGAAGAAGCTTTGGCTTAATATTAAGCTCTCTTTTAGTCTTAACGAAAGGCCGCTAAGCTTAAGAAGCTCTTCGTAGATATGAAAACCCGCAACGAAGAGCTCGATAAAAGCGCTAGCGAATAAAAAACCTTCGCTAAAAAGGCTAAAAAAGAGACCCGTCGAGCTCGAAAAGAACTAGATCAGCTTTAAGCGGTCTTGCTAACTACGGAACGCTCGTTAGAGCTTCTTTAAGTTTCTTTCGAAAATAACTTTAAAAGCAAGGAATTATATAAGTTCTCGGTTTTTTAGATTACTTTTTTTACTTATAAAACCGCTAACCTTCGTTGCTTTTTCGCCGACGACGATGAACTACTTTTTTTTTATAAGTTAATTAACTTTTGCATTCTAGCTAAGTTTAATACTTTTAAAGCTTTTTTTTTAGCTTCGTAAGGTCGCGCTCGTATCGAGCGGATTTTTAACTTTGAACAAAAGCTTTTAGACGGTATAAGCTATCGAGCACGTTATTAGCAAGCTCGCGTCTTCGACAACTTAAAAGCTTTCGAAGAATACTTTTTTATAAAACGTTAACGCAAGAACTACGTTTTTAATTAAACCGAAAAGACAGCTCACTTGTTCTTAGCTTTTTTAATTATAAATCGTAGCAATTTCGTAACCGCTTTAGAACTCGTTTAGATCGCTTTCGAGTTTTTAAACGACTTCGTTAAAAAAGCTAAAGCGTTAATTGAGTTCGAAAAACTTTATATAAAGCTTAATTAATAATTTTAAGACTTTTACTTTGTTTTCTTAAAGCTTGCTGCTACCGCCGAAATCAAAGACGAAAACCGATTACGTAAGGCTTTACGTTTTAAGATTATTAAAACGCTGCGCGACTAGCTTTATTTAAAATTTGCTAAAATTATAACTTTCAAAGACTTTTAGACCGCCGTTTAGCAATTAGCTATTGGTTAATACGCGTTTGCGAAGCTTTACGATGCTTTACAAGCTAAGTATAATATTTAATTCGCGAAGAGCTTTTATAATAAAGCTCGTAACGAATCTTATTCGGCTTAAAGAGCAGCGGTTAAGCAAACTACTTATTACGAGAACCGTTAAAGTAGCTTAACTTTCGTCTTTTTTTTTACTCTTTAACGCTAAACCTTTAATAGCTTTAGCGCTAATATAAATCGATCTAATCGATTTAATAAATTCTTTTCTTTCGGAAACGTTTTTAAAGTAGCGATCAAGACTTTTAAATCGTTTCGCAAAAACTCGAATACGCCGAAGCTCTTTCGCTACTACTTAATTAACGAGATAAAATACGGCGCCGGATTTAAATACGGCTTTTATTCGGATGACTCGGACGATAAGCCTTATTCCGACGCTTTTAAAGATCATTAAAAGCTCTTTCTTATTGACTCCGACGCTTTCGATAATAAAAAAAACGTCGAGGCTTAAGCAAAGCCTCTTTCTTAAGCTAGCTTCGAAATATGCGATACTTCGACTTTACGAAGCTTTTTAATAGTAAAGCTATAACTATACTCGTCACTCTTATTAAGAATAGCTTTTCGTACAAAGTATTTGCTTTGCTCGACTCAAGAGCTAATAAGTACGTATTAATTGATTTAGCGCTATTTAAATCACTTTTTTTTTTTTTAAACTTTTGATTCAACCTTTCTCGGCTTTATTTTTTATTAAGTTATATAATAAAGCTCGTAAAGCTATTATCTTATATTTTGTATTTTTTAATTTTATAATTAATAAGCGCGTTTAATCTTTTACTTTTTTTTTTATTATTAACCTTGGAAATCATAACGTGATCTTCGGACGAGCATAATTAATTAAGCATTAAATTTTTTTTAATTGCGCTCGCCGTAAGCTTTATTAGCTTCGTTTTAACTTTCCGATCGCTATTTACGCTAAATTTATTAAGATTATATATTTTAATTAGCGTAAAGTAAACGCTCGTTATTAATACGACGGTAACAAACGTAATCGAGCTTTAGATCGCTTTTAAAAAGCTTACGACGCTAATTCACTTATAAATTATAGTTTACGAGTAAATCAAGTAGCAACGATAATCGCAAAATCACTTTTTTCTTTTTAGAATCGTTTTCTTTCCGCTTTTTCTTTTAAGATCGTTGAACCTTTTTCTTTTATTTACTTTTTCGTAAAGCTATTATTTTTTCGCTTTACGAAAAACACTTTTTTTAAAGATTACGTTAAATCAATATCTTAAATGAATCGTAAGCTTATATTAATCGATATCGCTTTCGTAAAACCTTTTTTACTCGTTAAACGCTTTCGCTAAACATTTAAGTATAAAATCAATAGAAACTTTAAAATTAATAGCGTTTTCGAACACGCTTTCTATATGATCGCTCGTTAAAAAAACGTAAAACTATTCTTTACGTCTTTTTACGAGCTCGATTGCTTAATCTCCGAGCGTTAAACGATTGCTTTTACTTAAGCTAACTATTAAGCAGCGCTGATACGCTTTACTAACGGCTTTATCTTTGCTATTGACTTTGCAACGGAACTATTAAAGCTTATTAACGACTTTTTTATCTTTTTTAAGTACTCCGATTACGTATACGTATTCTTTAAAGCCGCTAGCAACGTGCTAGCATTATATAAGCTTTACGATTATAAAATCGAGCTTTTCGAAAAGAAAAAAAAAGCGCTTCGATACTTATTATTATATAAGATATCGATCTTTAAGCTAAAGCTTATTAAAGCTTACTTTATCGACAATCTTAACAAAGGTTTTATCGAACCTTTAATAGCGCTATTTGCAGCTTTAGTCTTTTTTATTAAAAAGCAAAACGGTTCTTTCCGCTTTTATATTAACTTCCGCGCGCTAAACAACTTTACTCGTAAAGATCGATACTTTTTTTTTTAATCGATAAGACTTTCGTACGTTTTTTAAAAGCTAAAATCTTTACGAAACTCGATATTCGATAAGCTTTTTATAAAATACGGATAGACTTAATTTTAAAAAAGCTTATAATATTTAAAATACGTTACGGTGCTTATAAGTGCAAGGTTCTTTTATTCGGACTAACTAATAGATCTGCTACTTATTAACGCTATATAAATGACTTCTTTTTCGACTTTTTAAATATCTTTTACACGGTATATTTAAACGATATCTTGATTTACTCTTTCGACCTTTTAAAGCACGCTAGTTACGTCCGTTAAGTCTTTTAACGACTCGACGACGCTAGCTTTTAAGCTGATATTAAAAAGTGCGAATTCAATATTATTAAAATAAAATACTTAAGCTTTATTATCTTTATCGAAAGCTTAAAAGTAGATCCGGATAAGACTTCGATAGTAAAGCATTAAGCGCTTTTTATAACCGT